CAAGGCTGGCTGGGGAATTCTGGGAGTTGAAGTCCACCCATCTTCAAGTCGCCAAGGTTGAGGAACTCTGCTCTAGGCATTCCCCACGCTTTCATTCACACACACGATGGGCAGGTGAAACCCCGGTGCCTCGCAGTTAGTGCAGACTACACCCTACATTTCTAAAACAAAGCTACATCTTTGGAGATCCAGGTTCCTTCCTTCATCTGGTTGGGGTAGACGCAGGCAGCGTCAAATCCGAACAAGAAGCAACGCTGAGCGTCTGCTCTCGGCTGTACGTGCCTGAAAAATGGTCTGCAAATCCTTTTCTGGCCGAGATGGGGCTTCTGAACCGTCCGGAAAGCATCTCGGAAGGCGTTTGGAAGGGGCGAGGTCCCAAAGGGACCACGGTCTTGCTCAGCCTGCTTCTCTGACGCAGGAGACCAGCCGAACGGCCCTTGAATTTGGGGGGGGGGAGGTTATGTGTTAGTCCATAGCAGCAACAGCAGCAGCAGCAAAACCTTTGGGGGCGAGATGAAATTGCAGAGCAAACCCAAACAGTGGGGCCCCCTCTCCCAGCGCAGCATTTCAGCCTCTGGGGCCGAAATCGAAAAAAGTCACCATTTCTTTTTGGGACTATCCAGCATACAATCTGTAGATAAACTGCCCCCTTCGCCAACAATCCAGAGTTAGGGGGGAGCTGATGGACGCTCACTGGTTTCGAGAAGCTGCCTGGGACCGTGTCGACCAGACTGAGTCTTCTGCCTTGAAAAAAACTAAAACGTGGTGCATGGAAACGTCGTTTTCCCCAAAGGGTGATCTGCTAAAGCTTCTCTTGAGCAGCAACGGAGGAGGGAGGTCTCCAGCAGCCAGTGCAGGGCCTCCGCCCCCATTCAAACCTCCAGCAGGTGCCGGGAGATGAAGTCAAAATCCTTGAACCGGGCTTGCTCTTCCGCAGTGAGGGGAAGGGCGGCATCCGGGGGTGTCAGGACAGCCTTTTGAGAAGTGAACTCCTTGTCAAAGTTGCTGACATCGGTGGGGCTCTTCAGTCTGGGCACCAAAGGTGGCCTGAGCTTTCGGGCAAAAAGAGCCCCCCAGTCCATCTCCTGGGGGAAAGAAAGAGAGGGGGGGAAACATGAGCCGACAACAGGGCTGCCTTCACCCAACTTGCTTAATGCTTAATGCCGCTGGTCTGGCAGCACACAACTGCAGTAACCGAGCACTCCACTCTCTGGAGAAATACAGTAGTCTTGTCCATGTTCCCCAACCCTGCTAGGTATTCTATGTCCCTTGCATCAAATAAATTTAAAATTTAAAATTTTAAATGTAGAATTTAAAATTTAAAAT